CGGTGGATCAAGTCAGACAAACGTATTGGGCGATTCCCACGAATTTTTTTTACCACTTTGCCAGTTATCACCTGTTTTTCAAGATTTTCTCCGTCTTTCCTGGCAATGTGTCCCTACATAGATATAATTTTTTAATATTTCTGACTTAACGAAATCATGCCTACCATTTTAAAGGAAATCACTACATCAGCCGCTATTAGGAATATATTGATCTCAAGATAGGTAACACTATTAGTGCAGCGTGCATCACAATTCAACATCAGAGAGACCATTGACTCGTCTCTCTCGTCTACTTCAATAAACACGTTAATTTTGATTTGCATTATATTATAGTTTGCTGTTGGAACTTCTGAAATAATATCCATTTTTGTCACCGTACATCGATCGTCAACAGCAGACGGTGAAACCGGTGTTATTATTTTATAGAACAACATATATGTATAAGAAAAAAAATTGCAAAATATTTATATTTCCATATGATATAACTGTGTGCGACATATATTATATACATACATAAAAGTTTTACTTATAATTTGTGCAAGGGTGTTTATGATTTTTTAAATTTTGAAACACTAATAGAGTTCTATTTTAAAACTATAATTATTTATTACATCACAAAACGCTTTCTAAGCGCAATAAATTAACTCATATCATCATTTAAAATTTAATTGTAAAAACTCCTCGAAGTTTATGCTTTTTTTAATTCTCAGTTTTATTTCTTTGATAAATTTACTTAAAGCCTACCAAAAACAATTGACATGACGCTGTATAGTTTTATTTGTACTATTAGAAGACAATTGGAAGACATTGATTCACATTTTAAAAACATAATTAGATGACAAGTATGTAGTGGTTTTGATTTATAGACAGTTACTAAAAACAAAATGTATTAAGTCCCAAATTTGGTGAAGCGGTGCAAAAGTGAAAAATGTACAAATAAAAACAATTAAAGGATTGAAAAATAGCAAGCATCGCATACATTTTATTCGATTATTAGAATCGATAAGGCACAAAGCTACTCGCAACTTACAAGCGATGCAAATACAAAGAAGAAACCAATCTACGTGGAAATAAGTATATATGTACATATAAGTTCATAGCCATACACCGTACTATGGTATGATTCTGATTCATCAGTAAGATGCATTGTTACCCTACCTAACCACTGGTAGCGTAAGGGGCTATAACCACTTATCAACTACGCCTGGATTGGTAGATGGGCTCATTCATTAGACGCCTTCAGCTCTAACACTAGGAGCAGGCATAGGGAATCTACTAACCGTACTCGTCGAACTCGACAAAGAGTTCGACGTGCAACCTAACCCATGCATCAGCTCGCTGATTTCTCGCCGGATCTTCTCAGTGGGTCGCGATTCCGATCCGGTAGTAGATTCATTTGCGAAGCAACTGCTCTCGAGTTGTTAAGTCTCCTTCGGAGGCGCTCGGGCACTGTTAGCAAATCCCACCCCTCCTGGCTGACCCTTTACTCGCCCACATGTCCTGGTGAATCTGGAAAGGCCTCAGGGCCACCAGTAATCCTTCAATCATAAAAAAAAGATGGGCTCAAGGACTTAACCCGGGAAAACTTGCTAACATTAGCTCTAGTACGAGCAGTGCTTTCCTGAATCTAGCATCGGAGCGGAGTCTCTGCGAATCAAAATCTTAGAAACGCTGTATTACATGTACGGGAATGTTTTGATTTAAGAAGCGTTATTCTAATATAGAAAATATAGAGCTTTGGCTCTTCCATACACTAGTTAAAATCAAAACTTCGTCATCCCGACTATACTCTACTCGCGCTTCAAGCAAATTACGTACGAGGCTTTGCTAGTGTTGTCCTATTATATTGCCTAGATTTAGGGTTCACGGGGTTTTTCTCGTGATTACACTTTACCCAAATTTTTAGGTAATTCAAAGTAAAACCTTTGATTGTTGTTATTTTACATAATTCCCAATACTTGTTTATTTAAATCATTAATAATATTTCTTGAATAATTCAAAACTTGCTAACGACAATATGTACTGCATTCATATTAAAAAATCTAGTTCAGGTCTTAATATCTGGAATTGGAACGCATTGAAAAGGACAAATCGTGACGAATTGTTCAGTGTAGCCGAGAATACAGAACAATGTGATGGCAACGTGTGGAGCTAAGAATTCAAATTTCATAACTAGACAGATCATGGTTGCTTTAAGCCACGTGCGTACCTTTAACTCATACATATACAGGATGTTTTTTTTTTATTGCTTAGTTGGATGGACGAGCTCACAGCCCACCTGATGTTAAGTGGTTACTGGAGCCCATGGACATCTACAACGTAAATGCGCCACCCACCTCGAGATATAAGTTCTAAGGTCTCACTATAGTTACAACGGCTACCCCACCCTTCGAACCGAAACGCATTACTGCTTCACGGCGGAAATAGGCGGGGTGGTGGCACCTACCCGTGCGGAGTCCCAAGAGGTCCTACCACCAGTGATAAAATTGGAAATTTGGAAATCGTCCATTAAAAGAAAACATTGATTGATATAATGACAAATTTTCTTTTTATAATAATAATTGCGGACAAATCACGTACGGTCATCCGGTCCCAATTTAGGATTCCCTGTGTAATGGGTACCACCAGACAAGCATACTTATATATATTTAAATATATACATATATAGATGATACCTTTTTTGTATATATTGTAACATGATTAAAACAAATGACGAACAGTATCTCCGCGAAGAGGGAGGATACAAGTTGCATGGCAGATTCACGAAATATGACCTTACTAAAAGGAAAACTATTCACGGATAGCAAATGAATAGTGTCTGCTATTTCCGAGAGGCATTAGTTTATTAAACTTCAACTTCAGTCCTAGTATACACCCCGTATTTTAAACATAAATATAAAACTTGGTGAGTGAGACGAAACAAAATAATCGTATTCATAAACTATGACGATTAAAGTAAGCAAAAAAGGCGTATTTGTAATTCCTCATTTAAATTTTACAGTTATGAACAATTAAATACAAGCATCGGTAAATACGTAAGACGAGCGAAGCGTTCAATAGCCAAAAAATAGAAGATATTTTCCTTTGTTAGTGACAGTCATAGATTGAGAAGGGGATAAATGAGTCATGATCATTATGAATCATTTCAATCAAATAAAATACGGAATCCCAATGACCTTCCAAATCTCACTGTAAATGAACTCAGAATTCAAGAACAGCGAAATACTAAGTAATGTATTTTAACATTGGCAAGTACATTTTATTAACTGATACCTATTATATTTAATTTAAGTGAGACTTCACGGTAACTATAAAGGTTTTATTGAGTTCTCGGCGACAATTAAACAGTTATTGGGTTTACCGAATCGTTTTTTGAGATCCGGTATCATGCTGTCGTTTTTCTCTCGACAATAGCCCATAAATATCGTTGCAAATTTATTACAAGATGTAAAAAATAAAATAAAATTATAGACTACAAAGAAAATAAATTACGCTTTTGTTTTATAATATTCAATATAATATTCAATATAAAATCAAGAGTCTAAAAGCGTTAAATTGTCTGCAAATGGAATATCACAAAATGTACAAAACGTATAGATAAAATTATGATCTGAAAAAATAAACAATAGAATATAACAGAAGCTCAAAAACTGATGTAACTAATCGGCATGATGAAAACAAACAATCATCTTACTTAACACCTAAATGAAGAATGAAGTTGATTAAAAAACTTGTTAGTCGACTTAGAATTAATTTGTTGACTCTCACCTGCAATTCTTCGTGTATCGAAACGAGTAGTTTGCTATGAATATCGTACATAAGGAAATAACTAATTTTCCTTTATTGTTAAAAAAGTTTTACTTCAAATGTTACAGCAAACGATCTCTATGAATACTGACATTGGTAAGCGAAAATAAAGAAAGTATGTTAATTAAATGTTCAACAGCTCTTAATGAATTCGGTCATCTCAATTTCGGTCGGACATAAATCGTTGTAATTGTTATTTTAAAAAAGCGTACATCAAAACTGCGTTTGTTTTAAAAGTTTACGACTCCAGGCTTTTCACTAACCTATAATAAATGTACAGTTTAACATAACGCGCCGATAATCCTCTGTAAAATTACTTTCAATATGATTTAAAATCTTTATCGTATTTGACTTGTAAATTCTGGTAGATTTAAAAAGTACTGAAAAAGCGTAATTTATTGGAGACACAAGGAAAGATAGCATCCTTGCAAAAAACTCTGATACGTTAATTTGCTCTTTATTAGGCCACGACAGCCGTCTTACGGGGCATCACCTATACCGTTAAGTTCCAAATACAATACCAGTATCCCGTCATAAATCAACTCACACATTAAGTAACATTCCGTCACATGCTTCGATTTCAGGTCAAACCTCTCCTGTTAGTTTCAAAATTAATTATTTATTATTTTCCCCGAATAAAAGTACATTTAGTTTATTCACTCTTTGATTTTGGCGCCTCAGTTTGAAATTATTATGAACAGGACCAAAAAAAGCAGTCAATTGAAAGAGTAATATAACGTAAGATATTTCATTGTATGACTAAGTATTTAAATTTCACATTACTAAACTTTGTTTTACGAATCGCTAAATTTTTGATTCATATTATATTTAGATAAACTCTACAAATGTTTCTTATACTTGTTCTGCGATATTTGTTCATTGTTGATTAAATATAGGCTAAAATGTAAGTTTAGTTCTATTGAATACTAGACGTCAGCTTCTATTGGAGCCATTGCTTTAAATAAAGAGCTTAGAGGATATGAGAAAAAAGTGTATCACGCTTATTTTATAATCTTAAGTATCTATTCGAACTAATCCATGTGTACATTATATACTTAATAATATACATAATTTACAATAATAGTTAAATGATGAAACTATACAATATATCTAATAAGAATATTAGAAACACTAACAAGTGTTGTAAACATTCCAATTAGATTAAAGTTTTTATTAAATAAATAATTTCTTACCTTCAACAAAGTTGAAACGATCCAACAAATAGTCTGAAATCAGATTAGCACTCCAGTTAGGCACGAGTTGTAGCACTTCGTCTCTATGTGAGATCTCTAAGAATGTATTAAGTTCATATAACCCTTAAGGAAACACAGAGGGTTGTTAAGTCTATATAGTGGTGGTAGGTTCGAGAATAATGAATATAGTCAGCGTCAGAGAGCTTCAGGGTGCCGGCGGCGCGCGGGTGACGGTCCAGCGTCCGGCCGCACTACGCGCCTTGCAACGGTAAACTGGCTGGCAGCGCCACACAGCCTCTCCCTTGCTTGTGCGAGTGCCTCCAACCTCCCTCCCGAACAAATAGTACCGTACGCTGCGCTTATGTCTTGCTAACATTTATTATACTTTTATTGGTGTTGCCTCGATGATATGTCTGTGTGCGTTGCCACAGGCACAGTGCCATAAACACGACGTGTCGGTGTGGGTGTTGGAGTAGGTAAAGTAAGTACCTACCTATGCGTGCTTTGATCTTACGATTCGGTATGCACGGCCGCGCTGCCGCACGTAGCCCCACGACTATACTTCTATAATACCTAGTCAATAATTTTAGTTTGAGTTTGTGCAATAGCATACGCCGTGTCGAGTCACCTATCTGGGCTATGGACCAATAAACTGTACGACAAAATAGTGTATCTTCAAAGATAACATTTAAATCGAAAATTAATTTTAATTGAATATCGTAGTTTTATTTATTTAGATTAAGAACAATAATGTTTTGTGTGTTATATTAAATATATGAATATAGAATAAGCGATTTATGCAAATTTTTATGATTTAAGCCTTTATATTCCACAAAATATCAACGCGCATACGGAGTGGAATAATTTTAATCCTGTTTTTTTTTTCTATGTAAGGTTGGTTAACAAATTTACGGGCTATTTTGTTTCAAGAGGTCACTGTGGCACTCGTACACGTATTATGTTGAACGCCGCTGTCCACTGATGAAATATATAGATACTAGGCAATCGTCCGTTAGTACATTCGTATCAAATAATGCGAATATGCCGAATATAATATATATACAAATTTATTTTGAGAGTAACACTGGGAGCAGACAAGCTCTCGACCTTCTTGGGTTAGCTGATCAATGTTACTTAAGGAGTACAGCAATAAGTAAGGGCACATCCAATTTGCTAATATGACAATTTAGTTCCATTTTCATCCTGCGATTTTACAAGCGAATAAACCAACGATATCTTTTTTGACAACTTTATAGGTATCACTCTCTATTGTATCGGTAAAGTGTAAATTCTTGTTTACTGCTTCTGTTCTTAATGTTCTTGTTAATAATGTAATTTAATGTAAACAAAAATTCAATGTTTTAATAATGAGTTGATGAAAAAAATGTACTTGCGAACCAATACCTATAATACAATAGATAGATACAATTGATTTTAACAACCTGCATTTTTCTTCACATTTATATTCGTAAATAGCTGACCCGGCAGACTTCGCAGTGCCTCAATCGATGAATAAAAGACCTAAACTTTTGTATAAAATAAACTTAAAACAAACAAAAGGGATCCGTTCGACGGGGGACACATCAAAGGAAAAACAAAATTGTTATTATTATTTAATTCCGAGCATTTTTATATTTATCTACCTTTTAAACCTTCTCTGGATTTCCACAAATAATTCAAGACCAAAATTAGCCAAATCGGTCCAGCCGTTCTCGAGTTTTAGCGAGATAACGAACAGCAATTCATTTTTATATAATATATAGATATGTATTTTTGGTTTTGGCCAGTTGGAAAAAGAATCAGTCCCGAGAGAAAAAACCGCCAAATAAACTCAGCGGGCTTGACTTTTTTGTGTTGTTTTTCGCATACATAATTGCCATTCATTTTGTTTTTTTTTTAATAACCTACAGACATTGTTGACTAGTAATTAAAAATAATGTTTAACTAGATTAGAGCAAGTACGTCATTCCGACATAGTGCTATCTCTAGTCATTTTACGTATTCAATATATTTTTTTTCGATTACTCGTGTTTTGAGCTCCGACGAAAAGATATCATTCGATTCAAGTACTCTTTGCGCCATACGCGTTACATTATGTTTTCTGATATTGAGCGTTCATCTAAACATCAACCATAAGAAACTCAATATTGATGTATGTTTGCAGGAAGACTGCGTAGACTTGTGAGGCCGTGATAAACGCAGCGGTCATCCTCGCATGAAACGCGTAAAACGGTGTCTTCAACGTTTCGAATAAAAATAAATTTGTTTTATCCTATCTAAAATCCTGCCCCATATAGTTTTTCATTTCAGATTCATTGGATATTTTGTATATGCTCTTTTATACATATCATACTCCGTGAGGCTCTAGTGGCCATTGTAATCATCCGCATAACAATTATTAAGTAGAATAAAAAATATTTCCTTCCTACCTCCTTTCCCCCTACAATTAAACATAGAATGGATTTTCCGCCCCAATTATAATATGTATGCGTTCCAAAATGGTGGTAGGACCTCTTGTGAGTCCGCACGGGTAGGTACCACCACCCCGCTTATTTCTGCCGTGAAGCAGTAATGCGTTTCGGTTTGTAGGGTGGGGCAGCCGTTGTGACTATACTGAGACCTTAGAACTTATATCTCAAGGTGTGTGGCGCATTTACGTTGTAGATGTATATGGGCTTCAGTAACCACTTAACACCAGGTGGGCTGTGAGCTCGTCCACGCGTCTAAGCAATAAAAAAAAATAAAAAGAAAATTGTGCACCTGGCATTATCGATGAACATGAGTGGAGACAACTTCTTCCCATAATTTGGAAATCCCTCTATAAAAACGAGAAGAAAAATAATTTATTTCCGTACACTGCGGCTGATACCGCTGTAAAATCTCTAACTAAGACTCTGTAACAACGCCTCCTATACTTACCAAATCGAAAAGCATGACTACTTCGCGGGTATTAGGCAAAGCTCTAGTAGGAACGGGTGCAAGAACGGATGCTCTGTCACTAGTGATTTATACACTGTTATTTTTTATTGCAACATCGAAATCGTTTAGGAGTACAACTACTTAAAAATATCGATACTTATACTAGAATCTAATAAAGGCTTAATAACTAATTTTTTTCCTACCTAAGCTGATAGCCTTGAGAGGCTATTTCAGCGTCGCCCTAACATGTAAGTGAGCTCACGGGGCTCAAACCTGGCGAAGTTGCTAACACTGACCCTAGCAAGAGCAGTGCTTCGCGGAATCTACCACCGGATCGGTAACGCGATCCACTGAGAAAATCCGGCGAGAAACTCAGTGGACTGTCTGTGGGTTAATTCGCTCATCGAGCCCTTCGTCACAAGCGACGGGTTCGAAGAGCACGGTGATCGGTGCTTGTGGTACCTAAAAGCACCGTTAATGGGTCGGGAGGATCTAAAATGACGTGTTTTGGGCGACGTTGACTGTTTACCATTCGGTCCGCAACATCGGGAATATAGTTACCGGCGGCCACGATGAAAGGGTTCTCGTGTCGTGCCGCTTTCGCGAAATGACGTACTGATATCGACTGCATTATTTTATTGATGACCTCTAGGTCCAGGTCATCGTGGAGGTTGATGTTCCTTACGTACCACGGGGCTCCGATGGCTATCCTGCAAAAACGGGATTGAATGATTTGAAGGGGTTTCAAGTTAGTGCGGGTCACGTGAGCGAACACTACACTTGCATAGGTCATGATCAGAGCTTATTAACCATTGGGCTGAGATCACTTCTATACTTGTCTCCACCACAATCCCAGATGATAATATAGTACGAAAACGTACCCATCAAATTACCCAGAATTAGTTCTCATTCTACCATCCACCAGTAGTGTGGGTAGAGTAAGAAGGCGATAGATGAATGAAATATGTTCTTGACACATGTTCACAAATGACTTTCCCAAAGAATCAATGACATCATGTAACAAAAATAAAAAATTCACAAAAATAGTTATTGTCTAATTACCATACAATCGATACAAGACCTCAAATAGACCTCAAATCTCAAGGGGATGGCGGCATTCACGTTGTGATGTCTATGGGCTCCGGTAACCACTTGACACCAAGTGGACCGCGAGCTTGCTTGATCTATGCAATAAAAAAAGATGATGATGATGAATCTGCCGCTGTCACATCGATAAAGCTTCGTAATATTCGTAACTAATATTACCTGTAGTGTTTCTGACTTTTACTCAGTGGCAAAATTTATAAAGTAAAAATTTTTTTTAGCCTTGTGAACATTGCTCAATATAATTAATTCTATAAATTAATAATTTTCTGTTTAATTGATAATTCAATAAATTCAATTTATCCATTATTTGTGAATTATAATTTAGACACTTTTAGTAAAAATTAATAATCCAAATGATTTAATCAATTTACTTCCTTGGACATTTAAAATAATAATCGATTTTTCTATTTTCTGAAATTAAGGAAATTTAATTAGTTTTTTTTTATGTAATATAATTATGAGTCACCCTTAGTGCAAAATCTATAATTGTTACAAAAAAAAACAAATATTTATTTATGTTTTTGGAATATATAACATATGATATAGTTTCTGCAATAAATTAGTTATTTTAATTTTGAAAAATAAAATATATAAATTATAAGTTTGGGTAAAATTCCAGAATTGGGGCGGATTTTTTTCCGGTGCCCAGGAGCGGCATTAAGTTTAAGTCCGGCCCTGCTCTTACTAACACTTTGTATACCTTCAACAAAATACTTAAAATCACTGCTTATTCATGAGTTTAAATATAAGATTTAACAGCCTTAGCGACATCTATTGAGAGACTTAGTCAATTCCAACCAAGTTGTATTTATTCAATAGTTACGAATTTCATTACATACCTTAAACTGTTTTATTTTAATACTATTTTAAACATAAACACATTTTTCAATATAAATATAGAAAATAATGTCGATTTTGAACTTTTACGCCCATTCCATGGGCGCCCATTGGTTACCTAATTTACTTTACTCTTTGATGGATGGTAAACATTACTTCAGTGATAGTAAATAGTAGAAAGAACGCCGCCGCGCCGGTCCAAATCCGTAACCAAAACAGCGCGAGATTGCCTTTCGGCCCCGCTTAGATTGCTTTCACAACAAAATTTTTATTTCAATTTATTTTTACGTTTTGAGGATCTTAATCTATGATTAATGGATAATCTAAACTTTTAGATTCCAAAATACACCTAAATGCCTTTTTTAAATTATAAAAAAATAAATATGAAATTAAGTCATTACTGAGTAACAAAAAACTGCTTTATGCAAGAAAAACGGAATACCCTATAAAAGTAATATTTTAAAAAGGAATAAAACAACAAAACGAATAAAGAAAGAAATTAAGAAATGAAAAAAAAATTGCAAACAATTTAGATAAAAATAGTAAGTTTTGAATATTAATAATGCATAAAATTAAATTTTCT